TACGGAACCCTGGAAATGATCGTGCTCATAACAAAATTTTTTTTCCTCATTTCGCATTAATGTGCCACAGCAAAGCTTAGTAGAGCACAGTTAGTGTGTTTATATAATACAATCATTGATTCCTGAAGATACATACTGTGACGACTCCCACATACAAAGAAACAGAAACATAGTACAGCGCCATCTAACGAAGACGCACCGAACTACGGAGTAACTCCTGAATGAGAATTGCTAATCCTGTATCGCGATATGAAGAATTCTCTCGCCGTTTTAGCATATATACAACTTCCCAAAATTAACCGTTGGGCCGCAGCCCGCTAGGTATGATCACCTCGCCTGGTCGGAGAATCCTCCCATTGTGTTGGAGGGACATAACACGTTCATCCACCATACTATAGTCCCAGGAATGCACCCACATAAACCGTTTGCACAAAAAGGTAGAGGTACTCAAATACGTTGTTTCTTTAATTTTTGTTACCTCAGAACTTTGTCATTTAGATTTAAAAATCCTTTCGTTTTAGAGTGGGTATGCCTACTTCCCATTTGGTCCAATTCAGGTTTGAAGAGAAGATATCACCCCTAAGGGTAGAAAATTCAGGAATAATAATAATAATATATATATCGCACATCTCACACCCGGCCATCTGATCCCAAACTAGGCAGAGCCTGTACTATGGTAACCTGATAAACATATTTATATATTTTTAAATACATACATATTATAGATAAATTACACACAGACACAGAACAAACGACCGTGGTCATCACACAATATTTGTCCTGGGTGGGAATCGACCCACGACGTCCGGTTTAGCAGTCAGGGTGACTAACCACTAGACCAACAGGCCGTAATAAAGAATACCCTTCTGTCCGTATAGTTCTACTGTCATACAGTTTACAGTAATCCCTATCTAATAGTGAAAGCATCCACTAATGAAATGATAACGCAAAACCCTTCACAACTTCCACGTATTTGAAATAGGGCAGTTGTATTTTTATTAAACGAGCGTTAATATGATAGGCCTAAGGTACATTTTATCTGTCGGTAAACAATAACTTTAGTATCGTGGCCTAGATATCCAAGTGACTGTTTGCTTTTAGGCATGACATGTAAAAGTACAATCAGGAAGGACAGACAGGAACGTTACTGTAAAGAGGTTTCAACGTGGAGGCGTATAAACTCTTTAAAAGTTTTTGGAAATACCCTTTTTCTACCATATTGTATGTACCTCATACCTGACTTAAAAACTTAGCCAACAAACCTAAAAGTAAATCATCCAGAGTAATCAATACTGACACGTCACGATCAGCGTTACACATCTTCCAATTTGGGTGTAATCATCTAATTCGAAATGTACCTTTTGAAACGTTTTGATATAGCTATTGTTTTCACCCATTTTGCAGCTTCGCCCATATTGGGTCTTTGAATTTCAAGAAACCGGGATTGGTAGAATTTGAAAACCCCATATCTTAAATGAAAATAATCGATGCATCTAGATAAGAAAGAGGTCAAAATCTGGTCTGAAAGCTTCTATATGTGGGTCATGCTTGCGATCAGGCGATAGTTGCAGTGATTCAGATCTTGGAACTTTGATGGACATGCAGTACAAACAGTCGTCGAACATTTGTCAAAATTTCATGCAGTATGGTCATTTTCCCAATACGAGCTTTCCCCGATTTTCTGTTTAAAGCTTTTAATCAATCCTCAAGCAGTTTTTGCAATTACCGACGATAACGTTATGATAAATAACCTATCTAAATTGTGTTGTCGTAAACAAAAAATAAATAATAATAATAAAAAAAAATAGGGGTATGAAAAATAGATGTTGGCCGATTCTCAGACCTACCCGATATGCACACAAAATTTCACGAAAATCTGTCCAGCCGTTTCGGAGGAATTCAACTTCTAACACCGTGACACGAGAATTTTATATATTAGATACAACCACTACACAGGTGGATCTGTACTCTTAAAAGATACATGCTTTAACTCACTAGCTATGTAAATTTATAAATATCACAATAATTTCAATAATAATTAACTATTTTAGACAAGAACAGAAAGCTGGATATTAACATAACCTTTTCTTTTTTGTTCGCAGGTAATCAACGAGTCAACTTTATTACCTCTCATAGGTTGTGGACTTTGCAAGCAGGACAGCGGAATAAGGGGTAGGCAGTTAAAGAAAATTACACAGTTCATTTTTTTAAGAAGGTTAAAGGGAGTTTCTAATTATCTCGGGATACATAGGTGGAGTTTATTCTAGTTAATTATGGAATTCCTGAAAAATAAATCGTTTTTATCACAACTAATTCCTGATTACCGGTTTCGTAAATTAACAGTCGTAAACTGTAGTTTTTCTTTTGTCTGCACTCTCCAACGATCTAGTTGTAAGGCAGGGCACACGAAATGTTTGGCACTACATGCTACCCTGTAAATCTTTTTATATAAAAATCTTTTATTCTATTTTTTTTAAAGAATGATATTCGGGAGATTTGGTTGAAACCATCCGCTAGATCGTATTTAATAGACGCAAAAGATAAACTTCTTAAACAATATACTTACTTTAAGTACATGTATTGTTCATCATTGACGATTATGTATCATCATCAGCCTATCGCAGTCCACTGGTTGACATAGGCCTCTCCCATTGCACGCCACTTAGATCGATTTTGGGATCCTCGATTGTGTATGGTGACGAAGATTTATCCGGTCAGCGAGTCCAGGTGATATTCAGTGGTCATCCGGTGTGGAAAGAAATCCTTTTTTTCTTCCATACAGACTAGTAGTAACCGACGAGATCTGACTAATATCCAAAACGATCTTCAGCCTATCCGGACGGCTAAGAGAACTATTGCAATGCCGAATGTTGATCCACTAATGGCTCTCAGTGTATAATTGATCCGTGACTAGCGTAAGCTATGCACTATGAAGAGAGTTTGGCAGCACAGCGACCGGAATGGCGCGAGATTACGAAGAAGCGAATCCGCGAATTTGAGGAACAGCGTTTAGCTGAACTCGATGCCAAGCGCGATGATCTCAAAGCCCGTCCACTCGCCGCCATTCACTATAATTATGAGAGCGGCAAGCTCACCTGCCCACTCTGTGCAAGGGAGTTTGCTGCGAAAATCGGCTATATAAGCCATTTCCGGGCGCATCAGCGCCAGGTCCCATAAGGGGTCGAAGTGGTCGCCATGGCCGAAATCGGTCGGATTACATCATCATCTTCATGAAGAAGAAATACCTAGTAGCATCATGGTCTGTAACAAACATCCATTGCTAAACATATAATACGCAAATCGAATACGACGCACTACACTCCATTTGACAAGACTTCCGTGCTGAAGAAAGAAAGGTATTTGGGATACAGTGGCTGGGTAATGGCAGCTGTCTGACTGCAGCCATTAATACTAATGGCCAGTAAAACAGATTCTTTCCTCAGAAGTTAAACAGACAATAAAGCGTGTACCACAGTGCCTGTTAATAACAACATCGCAATCTACTGCACAACGGAATCGCAACCGTTTAACGCAAGGCACCGGTGGCAGCCTCGCCAATTTAGTGTGATGTCTAAAACCGTCGCTCCAGGACGTTTCACTATTTTAAAAACTGACCTCGTTGGCTCCGAATTGATTCAGGTGTCCCCGAAATTAACAAAACCTGATATTACTAATAAGTGCAAGATTCGAAGAGCGGAGCTTTGAAACTTGAACCAAACATTCTTATGCAACGTTGTTTAGTTGCATAATCCTCGAAATTCTAAGAGCTCTGAGAGAATAAATACTTTGTAAAAATAAATATACTAAACAATTAACTGACTAATGTAATTAAACTGATATAAAACATGTTAGTAGACCACGTTTAAGTTTTTTAAAAGCAAGTACAACATACACTCGCTCCTATTTTCCCTAAGGGATAGTAGGGTACTAAATACCTACGTTATGCCGTTTGCCGACTATATGTTAGATTCACTTACCTAATAGGAGGCAAGCCTTTTGCCGTCACAGTACTTTAGTGGTTATTGTCTCATAACGACCCACAAATGTGTGAGTGTGCTCTGTGTGTTTTACTAGGAGTTGTTTAAAGCAAACAAGCTTTGTGTTTTGAAAGGCATACTGTGTATGTGTCAATTTACCAGTTAATATAGCTGTTCTGTCTCAATTCAATGTTTTTTTTTGTATTTGTTAAAGCCGTAACCCGTGTCGTCAGCTTTGTTGACTTGTTACTTTAAGTCATTGTGTTTTACACTTAAAAGAATGGTTAATTTTAGTTTTAGTATGTTTGTATTCTTTTTTAAGCGTAGACAAATAAAATAACCCCTTATTCTTACGGTCAAATATATTTTCATAGATTCTGCTTAAAATATAACATACATGTAAAATTCGCTCTAAAATCTGCCTTATGCTATCAAATTTGTTTATTGTTCTTGGTGGTTTATGCAATTGTGGCTATCGGATTTACGTTGCACCAAGTACTGATGAATTTCTGAAAAGTAAAAATGAACTTGTTCTAATTTAGTTGTGTCTGTAAAAACAAACACTTATCACCGACGGGTACACGTATGACTTACAATGTTTTATCCCACTTATGTAATGGGAAAAGCCTATTCCAATGTTCACAAGTTAATTTCTTAATATTCTCTTTGTAAATCCTAACTACTTTTGTCGATTTAATTTTATATTCATCATCAGATCAACAGCCTTTAATAGTCCACTGCTGGGCACAGCGCTCCCCTCAGAAATTACGTTTTGGCGTACAATACCACGCTGCCCAGACGGGTTGGTATAGGGTTTGTCTCAAGTTTTCCTTCTCTTTGCAGTGCTGTAGTCCTGCGTAGTTTGCTCCCTTAGTCGGCTCTTACGACACCCAGTGGAAGAATTTGGGTGGTGACATAGGGTTTTTTTTAAATATCTTATAACAACGTTACACTAATATTATTAACTATTAAAGCTGTTACTGTAAGTAATTATTCTAATCATATAGGCCACACCCTCCTCACCCAGCTATTTCATCGATTTTGTCGTAGAACTCTATCATGTCCCACTCGAGGGGCGTGGGCTGCGTGTTTATGTACACTCCGGGCACTTTAATCAATTGATAGTTGAGGAGGTGACTCTCTACAGGCGGCCAATTTACGCTACATGATGGATTGCTAGAACAAAACAATATACCAATCTTACTACTAATGTAAATGCAACAGTTTTAATAAAAAAAAAATACTTTAGCACTAAAGAACGACTAAACGGATTTTGATGAAATTTGACGGAAAGTAAGATTTCATTACGGACCAGCTGAACTCTGGCCGAGTCTCTGAAAAGGAATAAGTTTCCCTGTTTTAGCAACATTTTTCAATGCTGCTTCGCTTGTATGGGTCGTAGTGTTATAGGTTGTAGCTGATAGCCTTCCTTGCTAAATAGGCTATCCAACACTAAAACAATTTGTCAATTAGAACCAGTAGTTCCTGAGATTAGCGCTTCAGTCAAACAAACAGACGCATCAGCTTTATAATGTTAGTATATCGCTATCGCTTGGTGGTCGAACTTCGACGGTTTTCAGTGTCTTGTACTTTTTCTTGACCAGAATAACTTGAATCTATAAGCGTTTCTGTTATGACAGGTCAAAACATATACTGGAAACTTAGTTTATTTTTTACATAATTTTAAATTAATATTGTTTAAAATGTTTAATTTATGCACTACTTCTTAATACAATCATTAAGTATTCCCGATAAGACATGCCTTCCACGAACTATATTTGCTAATAAAAGAGAAACAAAGAATTTTGTTCTGTAATTTAAAAACAATATTTTCATATCTATGTTATAATATGTGTTTCTGCCCGGATACGATACTTAAAATATTTAAAAACAGACAACTTACTTGCATCGTATGAAATTAATGAAAAACATGGTCACCCAATCCTTCATATAGTCATCCCTGTTCAAAGGTGGAAAAGTCTTTTGGTCTCCAAGCAAGGCATTTTCCCGGAAGATGAACGGTAAATCATCAATATGGGCGCTACCCTTGTAGTCCAAGAACAACGTCTGCTTCATGACGCTGTTGTCACTGTCGTACGAGAACTGATATAAGAATGATGGAGCTGCTCTCACTTTCTCTCTCCATCGGACCAGCTGGAAACCTGGATGATGGAAAATACTCTCCGTACAAGATCGTAAATAATCATCATAATTGAATCCTCCATGGGAATATCTATTGATAATTTTCTCAGCCAGATAAAGCGCGACGTTGGGCGGGGTGGAAAATTGTATCCAGCCCTTTAAAACTAATGCAGGATTCTTTGTTATCCGACGCAAAAATTGTAAGTACTGTAGTCTACGTCTCCAAGTCTCGCATTCGTTATTAGTAAAGCCGATTATCATAGGGTAATGTCTATCCCTCCCCTGTTGAATAAGATTGATTGGCTCATCATCCACTATTCTTGTGACACCTGGATGTTGCGCCTCTACGACAGGGGTAAACGAGACCAAGCCTGTGGTATCTAAAGTTGCTGTTAAAGCATTTACAATAGCTTCTATAGGCGCGGTGATAAGTTCCTGGTTGATGACTTGAGGGTCTGTACTATTGATGCCCAAATTTTTAAAGAATATAGCTGCTACATTAGCGGCGTAAACCGGCGAAGCACTGTAGAACGCTGGTATTGCTGTTCCGCTCATCAGAATTACCCTGAAAAGTTTGGTTTTATTTAGATCCAAATTATTTCAAGAATTTACCTAAAAAACAAAATTCTACCGTTTAAACAGTCCCCTGGTCGCTTTAGATAGAGCTAGCAAATGTGCAATAGCTGCTCCTGCACTCTGTCCTCCTATAGTGACATCATGTGGGTTTCCGCCAAAGGCACGTGCATTTCTTTGCACCCAGCGCAGTAAAGTCACCGCGTCCCTAAGACCGGCATTGCCAGGAATACTTGTAGTATTGAGCGATAGAAATCCAAATACGTTTATTCTGTAAACAGAATGATTACTTTAAATTATTATTATTTTAAATTTATTTATTTATATGAAGCACATCAACAGCATAATTACAACATCGTGGGGCGATAACAATTTCGTAATTTGAGTTTCAGGTAATTACACAGATAATAAATATGCATGACACTTAGTATACATCCAATGGAAAGACTTTTTATACAAATGCTAATTAAACACATAAACATAAGACGAAAACTAGAAAGTGTTTTTTGTAATAATAATAAAAGACACCAAAAACAGCACAGGCGCTCTAAGTTAGGTTCGGCAACATGGCTTCCAAAGTGTATGTTTAAAAATTTACTTAATATGTTTATAAAACAAATAAAGATAATAATAATAACTTCACACATCGCATACATGTCTGGTCCTAAACTAGACAGAGCCTGTACTATGGTAACCAATCTGCTGTTATAAATACTTATATATTTCCAAATACATACATATTATAGATAAATTACACCCAGACACAGAACAAATGGTCGTGCTCATCACACAATATTTGTCCTGGGTGGAAATCGAACCCACAACCTCCGACTTAGCAGTTAGGGTCACTAACCACTAGGTCAACAGGCCCGTCAACCTGACAACCTTTTTTTTAAATATAGTATAGAGATCGTCCGAGATGGGTCCGTGTGGTGACGGATTAAGAATACAGAGTGTCACCACCCCTATTCATCCGTTTTTTCCCTTAGTCGGCTCTTACGACACCCACGGGATGAATAGGGGTGGTGACATTCCGTATATTTATTATATTATATCGGCTTATTTTTCTTTTTTCAAAATTTACGGCAATGAGTGATAAAAGTAATACCTGTAATTGAAAGTAATGAGGATGACCCCTTTGCTGACTAAATACTCCGGCCCGTACAGGTCAGCATCACCCGATCCTGCAGCGAATCCACCGCCATGAATGAAGACAAGTATAGGGTAACCAGCTCCTTCGTTATGTTCAGAACCAGTATTGTCATTAAGTTCATCAACTTCCTCACTCTTCGGCAAAGCTTCGATAGGCACGTGAACGTTTACGTAAATACAAGACTCGCTCATACCCTTGAGCGGCTTTACCAAATATCCATATATTGCATCGTACTGAGGGCAAACTGGTCCTTCCTCGGTTGCGTCCAAGTGATGGAGCCAGGGTTCGACAGGTTGGAGTTCCTAGAGTTAAGATACTTTTGAAAAGAAACCTGACTGAAGAACCGTGACCGTGAGAAACGTGACTTGCTATTATTATTGGAATGTATAGCAGAGCAGTAACAAGACTCGGTTCCGTATAGCACCGGCCGTTGCTCAAATTAAATCAATCTTTCTTAATTAAACGTCAATATAGTTTTGACTGGCCTGTTGGTCTAGTTGTTCGTTATCCTGATTGCTAAGGCAGACGTAATACAATTTTTACACTTATTCTCTCGATAAGAACCTTTCTTATGCCTTAACGAGTGCCGACAGAAGTGAAAACTCATATACAAAGGTGTCCGCAACGATAAGTGTTGCTAGTTTAATTATTTTTTCCATTCTCAAAATATGCTTAATGCGCCTAAAGAAGTCTTCACTTCAATATATACAGAGGTGTCGGTAACGGTAACAGTGTCGCGAGTTTAATAGTTTTTTCCCATCTCAAAACAAAAATCATTCTTTTGCTTGTTGTTCAAGCATACCCAACGCGCCTAAAGAAGTTTTTACTTCTAAATTAGCCAATTTGGTCAGGCTTTTCTCTAACACACATTTGGCGATTTATTTTTATATGAGTGCATGTAGAAATATGTTTATCAGCCGTCTGGTTATCCAATACTGGGATCAGACGGTGTGAGATGTGTGAGGTTACTATACCTTAAATCGAAGCTCTCTCAGTGGTTGCTTGGCATATGGGATTCCTCTGAAGCTAGCGTATAGCACACCATGCTCTGCTTCTCTGATTAATCCGCACACCCATCCAGATTCAACTCTCATGCGCACGTTACATCTCAAGTCACTAGTTTCGGCTGTAGTTACTAGAATTTAAAAACAACACTTCTTCAATATTTTAAAATATATGTATACTGTTACGGACGCCGTGAATGACACATGGTAGAGAGCCTGAGTACTGTGTCAGTGGTAATTGGAGCAATACTATCATAGTAAGATAATATAGAAGGAGGAGAAAAATTTGGTTAAGAGTTTTTGGGAAGAATTGTAATAACAAATGAACAGATGATCACCTGACTGTCAGTGACTACAGCCGCCAATGGACACCTGCCGGTCAGTAAATACAAGTGGGTTGCCACCTATTGTATGCCTTCCTCCCCTCCCGAAGAATTAAGGGTGGGGGGGCGGGGTTTATTCTTGTATCCTTCTCGGTGAAAAGCAACGAAAAACTAACATGTTACACGTTCTTAAAACTTAAATACTGGTACACATCAAAAAAATGTTGTATCTGTCAATTAAAAAAGAGTAGCCGGTTGTTTTGCCCTTTCTTCTCATGAGGTTCAACCCCTTGGCAATGGGCGTTTGTAGATCGGCACAGGCATATAAGAGATTTTCAATACGTATATTTTAAAATATCGTATACGTATATATTCAATACGTAGTTTGCTAAATATTTGCCAAAACAGAGATTGTTGCTATAGCGTCTACACAAGAGACGTTTCCAAATAATTTTTGTTTTATGAAATAAAGATATTTTAAGTTTGAGTTTGTCTGAGTGAAAAAATTGCTTAACACCGGTTGCCTATGAGGTCGTGGTATCCTTACAGTTGAGCCAGCCATATTTGCCGAAGCATGGCTCTCCCAGGATACCACTTGTAGTATTATTATGCCGTTAGTTGTGCGTGCATGCTGGTAGTTCAGTAAGTGGGGTTCGCACCCGCAACCATTCCAATAGGAAGTCTATCGCCCTATTTATGTTTCGGAAATGTGCAGATTTTACAATGGACGACGATTGAAGAAAAGGCACCGTTGCTTTGGTGCCATATCATCAATAGCCTTTAATAGTCCACTGCTGGACATAAGCCTCTCCTTAGAAAGGAGGTTTTGGCCTACTATACCACGCTGGCCAGACGGGTTGGTATAGGGTTTGTTTCAAGTTTTCCTTCTCTCTGCAGTGCTGTTGTTCTGCGTAGTTTTTTCCCTTAGTCGGCTTTTACGACACCCACGGGATGAATAGGGGTGGTGACACTCTGTATTCTAAAATCCGTCACCACATGTACGCCATATAGATTACGTAAAATAGTAAACAGTGAATTACACTGACAATAACTAGTAACTAGCGTATATACTTAAAAAAACTATAAGCTACTAACCGTGAAGTATGCAGTATACGAATACATAAAAAACGAACATAATTTGGTGCTGCCTGTTCCACTACTTCAAGTAAACACCACTTAATTGTGTTTAAATACTTGCTACCAACAATTACCGACACGTGCGTCAAATAGTAAATAATATTCAGAGAAACAACTCCCACGTACGCTACGTATGACAATAACAATGATAATTATAAAATAATAAACTTAAAAAATATCTATATAATAATATGTAATAGTTATATGTGATGGATTGTAAAAAACGGTATTTTTCTTAAAATTTAAATGAGTTTAAATGGGAGGTAAGAGTAACATACTTCCACAGAAGAGTTACAAGAGGTTTACCTCCTTTAACTGTTCCGTGGATACTCTCAAATGGAAAAATAATTTTGCAAATCAATTTATGAATGAAGTAGTTCTGAAGTACTAGAAAAACACACAACCATATTGAGAAACCTTCTTTTTATAGTTAGTCAAAAATAAAACTTCTTAATGCACAGAAATAAATTTTGGGGTGAACGTCAACATGACGGGGCTACGCCCTTGAGTGTAAAATTTTGCTATGAAAGTATGAAATTCACGTGATATTCGAAAAACCTGTCATGGTCCCGTCATTTTGATGTCACAATTTTGTACTAGAACCGTATATAACATAAAAATATGGATATTATCTTAGTTCGTTTGTTTTCTGAACTCTAAAATTTGTACAAAGCTAATATTTAAGAAGTGTTCTCATACTGACACGAATAATACGGAAGTAAGTTCTAAGTAGTAATTTTCTTTTAACGACGAGGATTAAATTGGCCTTACAAGTATCAAAAAGAAAATGTCTATACGCCTTCTGTAAATGCAATCATTATCATTCATGTTACTCCTGCAGTTTATTTACTTATCACCTATTAACGGCGAAGGTGCTTGAAGGTTTGTTAAGATTTACAATTCAAATCTGCAGATTCATTCATCGCCCTCGCACTTTCGTGCCTCTCTTGTTTTCGAAGGACGGCCCGTATTACCCGCATAGACTCTCGACCTCGACCATAGGAGATCATATTAAAGCACATATCCGCGTACTGTTTAAAGTTGATCCTCTGTACAGCATTTACACAATGCTTGCGTGCACAGAGATCGCCACTTTACTGCATGGTATGGCTCCCGAATTGTTTGCTTCACATATCTTTGTTCAAATTCATATGCCCCGTTTTTTTTTAATTTACGGGACATTGACTCTGATTTTAATACGCTTACTTTGATGCTTGTAGTTGCTTCTAGACCCTGATTGGTCGTTGGCAGGTCGTGTGTATTTGCCAGCTTAATAATTTTAAAGTAGCGTCCTGCACATAATCTATTGGCTAGCCTGTTTGTCTAGTGCTCAGGGATTCTGGCTGTAGTTTTATTAGCAGTGTGGTTAGCACAGCTCAGGACCTGCCTTATTTGGAATCAGATGTCCGTGTGTGAGATGTGTCAAGTTATTAACAAAAAACCTACACAATTTTTAGTTCAACAAATATCGTAAGACTAGCTGACCCGCGCAACTTCGTCTGCGTCTCTCAATAGTAATAAAATTTCTCCGTTTTTGAAACATTCTTCATTGGTGCTCCGCTCCTATTGGTCTTAGCGTGATGATATATAGCCTATAGCCTTCCTCGATAAATGGGCTATCTAATACTGAAAGAATTTTTCAAATCGGACCAGTAGTTCCTGAGATTAGCGCGTTCAAACAAACAAACAAACTCTTCAGCTTTATAATATTAGTATAGATTACACGTCACGTTCTTATTACGTTGTTGTATTCATTTCACAAGCTGTTCTAAGGAAGCAAATGTATATCATGACGACAATTATCACTTGCATTATTTTGTTTCAGGTAAATCATAATCATCACTCGCTCGCTTTTCTGCCAACTACGTGCTGATTTTGGTAAGCAGTGCTGTAAAAACACATCGACTGTATCATCTTTGGTTTAAGGTTTGGTAACCAGTAAATACAATTGTTGAATACAACTTTTTGGTTTACAAGGACCTTAATAAAATAACAAAGCGTAGTTCGAATAAATTTATTTTACACGATACGGTTTCTCGTATAGTAATGTTTGTCGTAGATATCGTCCCACATACGTGTCGTTCTGGAGTGGGGGTAATCAATCATCTTGAGCTCGTTACTAATGTCTAAGACGCGGGAATGCTCCTTCCTTGTTGGCTCCCAAGTCGTTCCAAGATCCTCGTGTAGAGGTGTTGGATTTCTGTAAGCAGTTTTATTACCATTTTGAATTATTGCTTTTACTTCTAGATGTTGTCAAAAGTCAAGGTCTCGATCGGTTACCTATATATAGAGTTGGTGTGCATGACAGTACTTACAAATGTTTGACGAAATTCGTCCAAAGTTTCACTAAACGTCGTTGCATAATTCCATCTTCCCCATCCAGCGTCAACTCATTGAACAAGTATGCTAGCTCATCAGAATGTGCAGCACCAGTTTTCTCTACACCTGGCTCGGTTTGTACTCCCACATCTCCAGAATAAGAGAACTGGTAGTAGAAGACTGAAGTAGATGAAGAATAGCGATAGACGCTTCGATGAATATGACTTGAGAAATAAGTGTCTCTGGAATTATTGTACAGAGGGCATCTTTTATCATAAAAAAAAGCATTACCATTGATCATTAATGTATTACGTAGGGAGGTAGAAAGTTTCTATCCATCTAACTAAGCAGCCTGTTGCACCCACGGCTGAGTATGGGCCTATTCTCTATCACGCCGCTCCTGGCGGTTTTGTGCCAGCCGTATCCATTGCCCTCCCTACCGCCCTCACAATTTCGTCTGACCATCGTTCAAGTGGTCGGCCTCGAGGCTGCCGCATATCTCTTGGGCCACCAAAGAAAGTTTACCCGCCTTTATTTAATTAATTATTTAGGCACAAATTATCAATTAATTTTACAATAGTGTCCTCTATTGTGCCACAGTCATTTTCTCCCAGTCAACTTTTGGACTTTGAGGAAATATCTGAGTAGGTGCACTAGGAATTAAGTTTTTTGTTTTAAAAAGATAATAATAATAATTTTATCTACCCTTGATCTACTCTTAGTTAATTCGTTTATTAATTAATGCAAAGGGTTTCCTTACCTGTGATATGCTAAAACAGAAGCTATTGTAATGTTTTTCTTAAAGTACATGTTTCCAACTTGCCGAGCAACTTGTCTCCGTTCTCTATCATTTAAGAACCGAAGATCATCAGGAAGTAAAAACGAAGGGGTTCTTGAAATCTTTCGCAGAACTTTCGCTTCTTGAAGTATCGATGTAAATACGTAAGCCTCATTGCTGTTATATCCAATCATCATTGGAACTGTTTTCACTTTATTACTTGTAAGTAAATCGTAAGGAGCTGCATTTAAAAGCCTCTCTTCGTTCTTTAACGGCTTTTCAGAACAAATACCAAATGGGAAATACGGGGCATCGAGCTTATTCGAACTCGTAATAAGCTCCTCAATTTCTGTCTCAAGCAAATACTTTGTTAAATCCTGATTGTCAGTCAGAGCCATTGCTCTTTCTTGAGCATCATAATTAAAAGCCCAAGGACATAGAGCTGTTCCACTCTGTAATATTGCCCCATGAAATAGTCCTGACGCCATTGATGACAACATTATAGAATCTACTATAGCAGCACCAAAACTTTGCCCTGCTGCTACAACTCTACTGGGATTCCCATAAAAAGCAACGATATTGTCACGCACCCATCTCAGTGCTAATATGACATCTTTTAAAGCTGCATTTCCTGGTATTGCTTCTTCATTCAAGCAAAGGAAACCTTGAGGGCCTATCCTGAAAAAAAAAAACTGGAAGCATCTGAATTTCGACCGTAACGTTGATCTTATATACCAGTTTTTCTTACCTGTGATGGACGATAACCACAATAATCCCTTCCCGTACCAGATGGCCAGGGTTGTATGGACCAGTTCCTCCCGTCACCCAAACAAGAACTGGCCAATTGGTGCCTACGGCAGAAGGTACGTACACATCTAGCTGCAAACAATTCTCTGCTTCTGACAATGTTGAGCATGTAGATATTCTGGATTCTCTAATGCTTGACCAGATAGGGGCTATACCAGCCATCTGAAATTTGACTGCTTAATTTTACACTATTATTATTCTTAAGGCCCTGTTAAGTACTGGGCCGCGGGCCGCCAGAGAGTGGGCACCTCTGGTGGCAAAGTGATTACTGCGGTAGGGACAGAATGGCAGCCTGATTGCATTAAGATACAATCGGGCCGCCACGCCGCGATTGAGGGGGGAAGTGTTTTCCCCTTTGATAGAGCCTGATTAGGCATGGTGTGAATTCGGGGACGACCTGAAATAACATGGTCTGGGTCCTCCCAGAGTTGGACACATGAGGCCGGCCGTCGCGGTGTTTTTTAGTGGAATCACCACATACTCCTGGCTCCTGAGTCCCCGAGAAGCAGGAGATCCGAAGGGATTTTCCACCCCGTCAACAAAAAAAAGGCCCTGTTGAGTAACAGCCCTCATATAGATTATAATAATTGGATAAATTTAGGATTTCATGTAATTTTATTTTAAACATTTATGGATCCTAAGCCTTCGGTCCCGGTTGCCATACGAACATACACAAGGCAATCGCAACGAGTAACTGGAACCCTAAAAAGTCCTTCAACGGTATTTCTACAGAACTTCGATGTCGCCTAGTACTTGGGTTCGAATCGAAGAAATCGAAGTTCAGCCATATCGTTATAGAATTAAATTCCCAAACCTATTTTGGGAAAAAGGCTCGCAGGAAGAAGAAGAATTACCTTTCCATCTCATTTTAATTTTTTATTTCACATCAATATACCTTAGTAAGAGTTAAGAGGACTTGACTTGAAATGATTTACCTTAAATCTATCCTTAGCACTGGTGACCGTAGCATAAGGTATACCGGTGTAGGCAATGTATCCGTCATACGCCACCCCTCTCATCTGTCCCTGGGCTATGCTTATCACGTTCTGTCTGCTTAACACCAATACTTGTAAGAGCATCACCAGTCTCCTCAGCATGGTGTTTACTGTGGAGTACACGTGCAAGTATTTCTTTTGAGTAGGGGTCGCACCCACGACCTGCACCTTAAGTCAGAATCTCTAACCACTAGACAAAACGACGAGTTGAGGTTAATAAGTCTGCCTTAAATATAACCAAACATTATTTAAATTAATACCTCTGTCTGCTTATTTGTTCAAAAAGTCAATGAATCCACTCGAAAACTATTATAAGACCGATCATTAAAAAAAGTGATATTTGTATGTGCACAAAAACTACACCGAGTGTGGGATTTCAAACACCAAAGTGTCAGTTCTCGTGAATATGTCACGGGACATGTCACACATTATCGTTTGTTGCTTTCGATTAAGGTCGACACTCACCAGCTCTCATTTTATTTTTAGTTCAAACCTCAAAACTGGCTTAAAGTACTCTTTGAACTAAGATACGAGTGCTAAAATCGCGAAATAATATAACAACGCCTACGTACGAGTAGTGTTCAACAAATTCATTAGCTGTTTTTTTAAATAATAATATTTAATGTTATACTTAGTATATAAATAAAAATAATTTACAATTACGGGATTGAAAAAAGATTTCAAGGCTAATGTTACACCACTAATATTTATTTAGACTATACGATTCTATTCAGATGTGTATAATAAATTAATAAATTCAAACGTTTCACACACGGCAGCTTGATTCCAACCTAAGCAGAGCCTGTAAACAGACTGCTGATAAACATACTTATAACACACATATGTTTTTTACATTACATGTCTCATATTTTTATGTTCCATAATACTTGTAAAATGTGCGCAAATAAATAGTTATCTATCTATCTATCTATATGTTAGATAAATTACAATCAGACAAAGAACAAATGAACGTGCTCATCACACAATTACTTGTCCTGGATGGGATTTGAGCCCAATATTTCCAGCCCGGATAGGTTCGGACCGACGGGGGACGTTATAAAAACATGACACACACGCGAAGAAAACCATACTCTGCTCCTATTGGTCTTAGCGTGATGATATATAGCCTATAGCCTTTCTTGATAAATGGCCTATCTAACACTGAAAAAAATTTTCAAATCTGACCAGTAGTTCCCGAGATTAGCGCGTTCAAACAAACAAACAAACAAACTCTTCAGCTTTATAATATTAGTATAGATAAGAATACCACTTACGAAAGCATTTATAAAAAAAATACAACTTATGTTCGTTTATCACTATACTTGTATTCAAAGTATGTCAAACGAAAACGAAACACCACCTCAATAGATAGATTCCTTTAAAAATTCCCCACATTACAACATAACGAGCATTGAAATAAAACCAGTGCATCAGCGTCCGTTCACCGCAATTATTTTATTTGAAACATCCAACCAGCGATTGAATCTCATATATAATTGTACTCAACACATTGTTAAATGAACTAGATACAATAGAAATGCCTTATTTACAATTGTGAACTTAAAATACGTGACTTAAATAGTAATACGTAACATCAGTCTATGATGAATGTTCAGACGGAGGCTCACGTTCGGCTCCAACATCCAAATTAAATATAACCTAATATATATGGGGGCTTAGTGTGAGTTTATTTCAAATCAACTCGGTAGTCACGGTGATTGCGTTCGGTGTTACGATTGGCCCGCATTGAAATCTTCACCGTCGAGAGCGAGTTATATGAAATCAAGTCATACTAGGCCCTCTGATTGTCTCTAGCTTTAGAAAAGGGACCGATTTTAACAGTATTTTGGTTTCCAAAATAAACATGTACTGTCTTAGTCATAGTAGATATTACTAAAAAAAAAGTCTAATGTAGAGCGTATAATAACTATTGTTTAAAAAAAATGGATTATCTACGCACATTAAATGTGTAACCTGGGAAACCACCTGTGAACTGATCCTTCCGTAAACACGGTCAATGAAATCCGATCGAAACTTCAGATAAATAAAATGATATTGTCTTATAATTAAATCATTGCTAGTAAGTCCCGTGTTACATATCTAATATACAACGTGGAGATCTATAATAATTACTCGAATTTAAGAAAATAACTAATTCTTACAATAATTATAATATAATATATATAATAATATAGATAATTCAGCCTAATTATTATTATTAATCAACTCATCTCTTAAAACCTTCCTTCATACTTATTCTATTGATCTAACGCCACTAAAACTAAATGAATTGTAAAGAAAGTTCGATCTATTTAAATACCACATTATTATATTGTAGTCATGCTTATTGTGTACTAGAAATCGCTTGGCGGTCGACCGTTTTAAATGTCATTGTCCAAAATAAGTTGAACTGTCTTTGTATAAACTTTTTACCAAAACAGGTAATTTGTATACTTTTACATACTCGTAATAAGTGTGTGAATGAAATAGATCAAAAATTCAATACAAAAATGTAAAATCAAATATTAACTAAAATACAACTACATAGATATAAGATATGTGTCAGCGGATACTGCTTGTCCATTGACTCTCACGGGCACGTTATCTAAGTGACGATACATGAAATTCATGGCCGGATTTACAATCTGGGTATTAATGGAATGAAATCTTGTTTTAAATAGCAGTGATTTCCATCAGCGCTGCTATTAAGCATGTGTTTATTATGTTAAAATGAATAAATGTGATTATATTTCTTCTCTTTCTGTATTCTTTATCTCAGACTTTCTCTTTAAGTAATATAATAATAATAATATATCTCACACACGGCCGTCTGATCCCAAACTAGGCAGAGCCTGTGCTATGGTGACCAGACATAGATATTTTTAAATATTATAGATAAATTACACCCAGACACAGAACAAATGACCGTGCTAATCACACAATATTTGTCCTGGGTGGGAATCGAACCCACGCCCTCCGGTTTGGCAGTCAGGGTCACTAACCACTAGACCAACAGGCCCGTCCATAATTATCAAAGATAACATAAATCAATTAGTTAGTCCCTGTTGCTTACAAATTTCAAAGATTGCAAAACATTATCTGAGGAAATTTTCATATGTATACATAAGTATTTATAACATTCTGTAAGGTATTTGCCAAATATGTTCATGCAGTATCATCTTACACAGAACCACGAGATTGTGGAAAGCATTTTATACATACTATCATCATAATATAAATGTGTCTTTCAATCCAAAAATAAATAAATAATATTATACTAGCATAGTACACTGCGACTTAGAGCAGGAGTTGGCCTCTAATTACTCCTTCTCACCTGCCAATGAATTGTATCAATACGTATCTTCTTCGCTAACGTTTACAATGCCAAGGAAACCATAAAATAATGACACACGTTTCCTTTACAACCGGTTTTTTTCCTTGGTCTAATCATGTTATTAACAATTCCTTTTTTGCCACAGTCACTTAATATTCTTGAGCCACATTACGTAACGACGTTTTTCATCAGTTCATTCTACAACAGCCAAATTGTCAAAGAACTTAGCCAGCTGTTGTTGCCTTGCGGAGAGTCCCATCATTTGGTACTTGTAAGGTTCATGGATGTCCTCGTACACGAACTGCTTGTCATTGGCAGCTGACCAGAGCTGGTCATTCTCATCGCAGATAGGTTTACTGTAATTAAAGAACAAAATTCACTATGTTATCGAACGAAAATGATTTCTGAATTGCCTCACCTAAAATACTTATTATTAAATACTTTAGACACTTTACATACTGCAATCCCAAACTGGCAGCCTTTACTATTTTTATCAGATTGCTTATAAGCCTAATACATATTAGTAAATAAGTTAATTTTACAGATATATTATAACCACAACAACAATGTTTTAATAATCATGCTCATAACATGATTGTTTGCCAGGATGGGAATTAAACCCACGAGTTCTAACTCAGCAGACCAGGAACAGCAACCACTAGACCGAGTCGTCAAATGAGACCCGTGAAATGTAATCACTAGTGTTGCCAATCAAGAGAGAAGTTCGCAGCAATTTTTATACCACTGCTTCTCATTGAACTTGGTTTTTAGCAAAATCTCGTAAAATACAAAATGTAATAATTACCTGCAACTCATGAAGTTAACAATGAACTCTGTCATGAAGTTTTTCATGCTGTCACTATCATTTCGGTCCGGCTTGCGGATGTCTACCATAGAGTTTGTTTTAAACACATACGTCATATCTTCAATATGTGCAGCTCCATCATACTTCAGCCCTTCTGTTTTTAAGACACTCGAATCGTTTCTATACGAAAACTTGTAAGCATAAACGGCAGGACCATTGATCTTTTCGTATTCTTCTACAACCTTCAGAAATGGGTATTCGAAGAAACTTTCAGTACAAGATTGCACGAAGCCATCTAAAGTAACTTTTCCATTATAATACCTCTTGTTTATCTTCATGGCGACGTCAGGTATCGCATTGGGAGGCACGGTAAATAAATATTTAGGCGGAATTATGATTGGTTTGTTTGTTATACTTTTTTTAACGATATCGAACTCTTCAAGGCGCTTACGGAAAGTTTCGCATTCAGCATCTGTGTAGCCAATTAAAAGTGGAATATCTTTGCCACGACCTCTGGCTAATAAATTTTCTGGGTAATCATCCAGTATTGGTGTCACCCCGGGAAAGGAAGTTTCAACAGTAGGGACGAATGTTGTTAAGCCGAATTGATCTAGGAGTTTTTTGTTGGCGTCTACTAGTTTTTCGGCAGGCAGGTCTATAAGCTGTTGGTAGATTTCATCAGGGTCCGTAGCTTTGATATCCAAGACTGCTAAGAGCAGATTTTTGATGAACTTCGCGAACAATGGTGACGGACTGTACAAAGAACTTATAGCTGTTCCACTCATCAGGATCGCTCTGGAATTAAATAAAACGTAAAAATGTATTTACTTTAGTTTCAAAGTAAATTCGCAGTTAGGTATGACGTAAAACGCCATATTTTAATTTCATGATTAGTTAGAAGAATTTACTAACGTAGTTTTAATATCGTACCTTTTAAATAAGCCTTCGGCAGCCTTCGATAAAGTCAACAAGTGTGCAGAAATAGCACCTACGCTTTGTCCACCAAGAGTTACATTGTCAGGGTCTCCACCAAAGCTTCGCGCATTTCTCTGCACCCATTGCAGAAGTGTTATCATATCACGAAGACCGGTATTGCCAGGAACTTGGGTTGAGTTGAGAGACAGGAAACCAAATACGTTCAGCCTGAAAAAGTAAAAATTTCGGTATGAATTCGTCTCATAAACTATAGGTAAAACTTTTCAAAACAAGTTATTACTAATATGCGACCTGGAACAAGCTTTTATAAGACAAACAGTATGCTTTCAACTGTATAATCAAATATAAAAAGCATATTTATTAAACCTTTATTTTACAGTAATATCTATAAATATTTTTGTACCAAACCAAACCTCCAAGGAAAGATCGTACTCCTTCCTCAAAGGCTGGCAACGCGCTTGTGACTCCTGAGTTGCAGGCGTTCATGGGCGGCGGTAGTCGCTTTCCATCAGGTGACCCGTCTTCTCGTTTGCCCCCTATTCCATAAAAAAGTGAACTTGTGGCTACAACCAATGCAACCTGATCGATACCGCAAGTTCAGTAACTGTATTTTTATTATATGTACTCGAATATGTAAACAAAAAAGATATTGTAAGCAAAAATCCAAAAACATGCTAATGTTTTGAAAGGAAAACATTGCGCATTGTAAATATGTCAATGTATGATACGAGTATATCTCATAAAAAGACATGTTTTTAAAATTATTTAAATCTCTGTATATATTTGTTCGTTTTTCATCATGTTTAAAATCTATTATTACTTGTACTTGTAATTATCTTACCTGTAATTGAAGGTGATGACAATAACATTCTTGCTAACGAGGTATTCGGGACCATGCATATCAGAATCACCAGATCCAAACGCAAATCCTCCTCCGTGAATGAATACCAAAATAGGCAAACCTCTTGACCGTGACTCTTCTACACTTTCATCAGCTGCCTCACGTGGTGGCTCCAGTTCTATTGCTGGTGGCGCACAACGGTCAGTCTTTGGTAAAGCATTAATAGGGACGTGAATATTGGCGTAAAGACAGTTCTCGCTCATTCCATGGGGTTGCATCATCCTTCCGTATAATACATCGGTTTGGTAGCATATTGGGCCCTCGGTTGTCGCAAAGACAGTATCCCAGGTATCCAAAGGCTCTAGTTCCTGTGAACAAACAAAACAGTGTTTATGATTCTTGCAAACAATGTGATAAAGGGTTTTTACTCAAGACATCTAAAAACCAATTGTATTCTTAATTTACCTTAAACCTGCCTTCTTTTGTTGGAGCTTTTGCATAAGGTACTCCTCTGAAACTTGCATACGCGACGTCATCTTCAGCTTGTCTCAGAAGTCCACACACAGGTCCTGTTGTGGTGCACATTCGAACTTTGCACGGGTCTGAACGCGCATGCGCATGACCTGTAAACATTCGGAAAAATTTGATGTCTAAATTGTATATTTACTAAATTAGCCCTATCGTTTGCATGTCATAATATATCGGCAAACGTAGTGTAGGACGCCCATACGCCAGGTCGAGTGATCATTAACGCGAGATGGCGGGCAGAAGCTGGATGCGAGAAGCCGAATATCGAACCAAGTGGCGTACAATTGGAGAGGCCTATGTCCAGCAGTGGACTGCGATAGGCTTATGATGATGATGTCATAATTTTTTATTAACTACAAATGAGCAGGAGATTCTCAATTCAACTGTTTTATTTTTGTGTGTTATTTACGCAATATCTGCGTTGTAACTGATTAATTTTGTGTTTTAATTTACTCAAGGTTAATCCCATTTAAATTTAACAGTAATACACCCTTCTGGTGTTTTAAATACAAAAAAGGTGTAAACAGAGGCGGTGCGTCATGTTGCAAACAACGCTATATAAATGAAACGGTTAAATTATAAACGTAAATACAAAATATTCCTTCTCTTACACGTTTCATCATTTACTTATATTTTCAATGATAAAGTGTTATGTAATCTTTGTAACATGTTTGTGGGCCTTCAAATCTATTCAAGGCAACCGTGTTAGAACTATGTTCCGACGCATATAGGCCGGCTTAACCGAGGTGGTAACGCCAGGTTTCTGGTAAGACCACGGCCTCAGGCAATTTTTTCATTTTATGTGGGTGGGTGGGTGACCAGCTTGTGGGGTTACCCGAGAACCAACATTAATGTCCCTTATACGATTCTGCTTAAAATTAAAAACAATACATATATTATGAGTCATTTAATGTTACGCCAGATTGACTGAATAAAGAAAGATTATAAAACTTTTTATCCCGAAAGAAATATTGACATCATCGATATAACCGTGAGTGAAACCAGGGGTGAAAACTTGTATAATGTATAATGAAGACGAAATTGATTGATTCTGTACAAAGCAGACTGAGATGACCAGAAAAATGACTGTAGACCGGACCACCAATTGCCTTCATTTGCGACCCGTTTTTACCTTACGGCAATACTTTTTCAATTGAAACTAGAGAGAACCTTGCATAGGCTTTTACGCTTTAATGCCTGAATAATAGTATATTTATTTCCCTAAGAAGTTACATTTTGAAAATAACATCTTTTTTTTCTGTTGAAAGTTTATTTTTAAATTTAAGATTTAATTCAAGATTTGAACATAATAAAATCGTTTTTCTGTAGACCAATAAGTACAAAACAAATGTCCTGTAACTGTTAATATATATGTCGGCCCACGTTAACAATATTTGGGCCTTATTAATAAGATTTCATTATAATGTAAATCTGTTATGCAAATGAATCAAATGCTATTATGTAAAATTTAAGATTGACGAAACGGAACCTGGGGATTTTTTCTAAGGTATAAACACCTATAATTGTGTGGTAGTCCTTGGCGTTTACATACTAATTGAGATGTTTAATGATTTTGATTTAAATTTGTCAAGTGTGAAAATTGGTTCTACGTTCGAGGTCATAAGATAACACATTTTATAAATACGCCTTTAAAAGATAATTACTTATAATATCAAGATATTATTAAAAATATAAACGATCTGTGCTCCTATATAATGATAAATGATAATAAACTGTTTTATCATTCCTAAATTTTGCACCTTAGTGGTAGAATTATTTTTACCAAATAGCACCAAACGGGGCTTTCAGATTTAACACAAACTTAATTGTAATTCTACTACAGTTTATAACAGCTTCAAAAATAATTTAATTTACACTCGGATATTGTTCTGACTGTTTGTACATATGAAAGTAATGTATTTTTATAATACCTATGCAAATATTTGTTATGGGGAAAAAATTGTAACCAAAGATTATTGTAAGTAATTTGTATGTCCGTAGAGGATGTCGTAGCGCGTGCTACGGGGTGCTACGACCTAATTCATGTCGGTGCATGGTACCTATATGCATATTTATTAACCCTAGAATGCAAAACCATAACAATCTGCTATAGATACGTGTGCATTCACTATCCAAATGCGTATTTATTTCGTTGTTGTTTTTTGTAAAATTATTTAAGCTTTGCTTTTTTAAACTACGTTAATATATTAAAAAAATATTTTAGTTATTTTTTTATATTATATTTTCTTATATTAGATCTTCACATCACATCAACAGCCTATAACACTCCACTGCTGGACATAGGCCTCTCCTTAGAAAGGAGGTTTTGGTCACCACGCTGGCCAGACGGGGTTCGTTTCAAGTATTCCTTCTCTCTGCAGTGCTGTTGTTCTGCGTAGTTAGTCGGCTCTTACGACAACCACGGGAAAAATAGGGGTGGTGACATTCCGTATACTTAATCCCTTACCACACGGACGCATATAATAATAATAATCATTTATTTCAGGTATAAACCCATAGGCAAAAACACAAAATCATAAAAATCATAAAATCATAAAAATCATAAAATCATAAAATCCAAAAAAACATGAAATCATAAAATCATAAAATCATAAAGTCATGAAATCATAAAATCATAGAATCATAAAATCATAAAATCATATAATCATAAAATCATAAAGTCATAAAATCATAAAATTATAAAATCATAAAATCATCATATAAAGCAGCAAGATTATAAAGCCTCTTGCTGCCTTATAATATATACCATAGAAACTCTTTTTGAAAACTTTTTTTGTTCAACAAAGTATTTCACTACAGCGTGATGAATTTTCAAACAATGATTACCACAATTACACTGTTTTATCACTGTGGCGAGTGTTTTTTTCCCCTGCAATATCACTTTTTTGCCGGAACGTAAAAAATATTGGCTTTTAATTGCCTGTCTATAGTTTTTTTTATGTATTATCAAAAAAACATGCTTTCTGTCTTTCTTTAATTCAAATGTAGGTGTTCAGTACATTTCTACCTATCCCTTTGAAGTAACTATTTCTATGGTTCATTGAAAAGTGTTAGAAACTTCTTTAGCTATATATTATATAACAATATAATTATTGGTTATTATAATTTTCTTTTTAATAAATTGATAAGTTAAAATAAATTACCAAGTTATAAAGACAAAACCAAGTTAGCAACATCTGCCTTAATCATTAAAAATAACCCAAAATAATATTATCTTGCAATCTTTAATAGCGACATCAACGACATTCATACTCAATCAAATTAAACAGGTCACTCTCGTGCCATCTTCATTTTTAATATAAACAAACAGATTAATAAATCTCTTATCATTGCTACAAAAAAATGCAACCGTAATCTTCTCCACGTGTATCGATAAGTTTATGATTTATAGTGTTATCACTAAGGATGTGCGCCCGCGCCGGTGACACAGTGGTATCACACCGTCCACAATGTGCGACAGATAAACCAGATATGTGTTTTGATAATGCAATGCACTTTTCCACTGATCGGTCAGAGGTCGGTCTTGTTTATGAATGTTAATCATGTTGGTGTTTAAAACTGTGCTTTGCTGGCGACGGTATGTATTGTTACCGTGGTAACTGGACATTCCGAGCGAATGTAAGCCGTTTAAAGAAGTCGACAATTATTTATTTATTAATTAAGTGTTATACAATTTAATTAATCAATTGAGTGTTATATAATTTACTTTATCATTTAATTATTTTTTTTGGAATGTGCGAAGTATTTCTAAAATTATAGGATGTAAAATTGTAGTAAGTAAGTAGTAATTATAGTTATGGTACGCCTACTAATAGCGTTAATTCCAATTCATAATATTAATAAATATATGTCACGGAACGCGAAGTTTTAAAGTTAAAATAATCACTGAATTGTTAGATGTGTATATTGAATTACAGAGATTGTGTTCGATGACATTTGAACGAAACATGGGGGAACCGAAAAAGGTGTCTTACCTTATAATTATCTTCACGAGTGAGTCTCGGTTTAAACGTAATATGTATGTAATCTAATATAACCACGAAAGTTTATAAACATTTATTTATTAAGATTGCAAAGTGAAAATATTTTACTGAGCCTTATTTTAATTAAATTTTAACATTCACACAATTATAAATTTTTATACATGATTGATTAAAAATTAAAATAAAAACCACTAAATTTTTTATGCAATCATACCTTCATTTCTCATCACCACATACTCAGAAAACAAAAATCACGATAATTAAATAGGAAAAAAAATCTCAAATAAAAATTAATAAAAACACTTGAGATTCGTCTGCACTCACCGGCCCGTACTCCGACGAGAGCCAGCACCAAGCACACGATAATATGTCCAGTCATGTCTGTAGCGCGCCACTCGACTCACTGATCACAATGGCGGGCTGACCCCACGTACATATATACGAACCGCGCTGGCCAACCGCATGCGCAATCGGGATTCAACGCAACCTGATTTATTTATATTTTATATATAACAGGCTATATACCAAACCAACATCAATAAATACACTTATTTATATAATAGATTTTCATTGACAGGATTTTGACTTAGAATTAGTTACTATTTGCTTAAATAAATTTCGCACGCGGCTGTCTGATCCCAAATTAAGCTGAGCTTATGATATGGTATCCAGACTGCTAATAAACATAATTATATACTTGTAAATACATATATACACAGAAAAAAAATCGTACTCATCACATAATTATGTCCTGGATGGCACTACACATACTGTGGCATTGACACTACATGCTTAGCAGTCAGGACCAGTAGAACTGAATACTTTCACACAAACATATGTATATCTAAATCAAATTTCAATTTTATCACCCAGTCATCGCCATAGCCCAACGGATTAGCAAGCTGAAGTGGCAGTGGGATGGCCATATTAGCCGCAGAACCGACAACCATTGGGGTAAACGAGTTGTAGTGTGGGACGCCCACAGGCCAGGTTGAGTGACGATTTACGTAATCGATCTAAGTGGCGTGCAATAGGAGAGGCCCATGTCTAGCAGTGGACTGCGATAGGCTGATGATGATGATGATTATCACCCAGTAATCAGTTATCTGCAATTATTGATTTCCATGAATAGGAGTTTATTTAATATTAATATAATAAAACTGTTTCAATAGTGTACTCTTACATTACTTATTGAGCGTTACAAATAAAAGAATGAGTTTAGACATAATTATTTTTATTTTCCAAATTACTTTTTACAAAATATTTTTATTATCACTAAATACTTTATTGTTTAAATTACTTTTTTCTTTAAATACAAGTTATTATAATTGTAATTCTTCATGTTTCATATATTAAACCAAAACGGCCTTTCTAAGGGAGGCCTATATCCTCCAGTGGACTAACAAATGCTGTTGATGATTTATCTTATGTAGTTCTGTCGACAGCCAATTCTGTCCTTTTTTTTACCCCTAACAGGTGGTGGAAATATTGTCCAACCTTGTAATCAGTTTTCATTAGTTTCCATGAATAGGTAGTATATTCATAGAAATCAACGATTACTGATTATCAACAGCCTTTACCAGTCCACTGCTGGACATAGACCTCTCCTTAGAAAGGAGGTTTTGGCGTACTGTTTTTTTTTGGATTATTGATTACTGGGTGATAAAACTGGCTTTAATTGTCCTGCCTGCCTACGAACGATACCTAGACCTTTTATAATTTCGGAGACTTACAAACAAATAATTGTAAATTGGGACTAATAGTTGAAATTGTCTGCCACAATGACTGGTCCATTTGTAACCACGATCAGTGCCAACCTATCGATAAATTAAAAAAAAAACTATTATATAATATAAATATTAAATTATAAGTTATTATAAACGGGATATTTACTAAGTTTATTTTCTCGATACTATTTACATAAATACTTTTTACGGCGATAAAAGCTGTAGTATATAGATTAATGAAGCCAGTTCTTAAAATATGTTTAATATCAATAAGTCCTTAGCTATTTTTTAGTTTAAACCAATCTCGTTTGCCATTCCTACAATTACATATTTCTATAGTATAAATGTAATATGTATATATAGGTAGTGTATATTACGAGTATTTACCACCTATAAGCCTACCAAATCTGGACGTAACAGCCAGAATATTCCTTTATTCTGCTTTGGACTCGCTACGGGATGTAGAAAATTTCAAATTGTGGACTTAACACTGAGGCTACTATAACGAGTAGACTCTCCCTGCCTAAGGGGTTCTAAGATAATGGGTTTAGACTGGCTGACTTACAGGTTATTATGACATCATATCTTTATGGGAGAAGTAGTAGGAGTTCTTAAATACTTGTAGTTTGCATTGGTATTAAGTCCACGTGCAACCCTTCAAAGCCCCACGCTAAGTCTACAAGGAACGAAGTCTATAAATATCTGAAGATGGTAGTGAGTAGGTATGAAACAGCCTGAAAAAATGTGATTTGTTGAAGTTGAAACTTGACCCAAGGACGTGTGAATTTATTTTTTATAATACGCGTTATTCCATTGTTTTTATTTTAATATGATTTTAAACTATATCTGTGTGGTAACGGATTGAGAATACAGAGTGTTACCACCCCGGTTCATCCGGTTGAACAACAGCTCTGCAAAGAAAAGGAAAACTTGACACAAATCCTATACTAACCCGTCTGACCAGCGTGATATAGAAGGTCAAAACCGCCTTTATAAGGACAGGCATGTCCAGCAGTTGACTAATAAAGGGTTTTGATGACGATTTTAAATTTAAACGAAAATATTACCCACATAGTATTTTTTTACCCGACTGCGCTGGAAGGTATTTTTTTGGCACGCTGTCGAAACGCCTTAATTGTAAGAGTGGCTCTGGGTATATGAAAAAAAAAACACCATTTTGTAAATTTTAAGTACTCACACTCGCGTTTTTTTTCAGTCGTTTTTTTTCTAAATTGCTTCTATTTTTCTATTTTGCTTTTAGCTTGTTTATTGAATATGATTAGTAAATGATATGAATAAAGTCAAAAAGAGACAATGTTGAGAAAAGAGTCGACTTAATCAAAAGATTTAGACAAAAAATAAAGCATGCCGGGCACTTTTATTGTTTCTTAGAATTTTCAGTTGTTATCTATCGTAATATTATAAAGCTGTTGAGTTCGTTTGTTAGGTTGAAAGTGCTAAACTAAGAAACTACAGGTTCGATTTGAAAAAATCTTTAAGTGTTGGATAGCCCATTTACCGATGATGGCCATATAACATCACGCTACAACCAATAGGAATAGAACATCAATGCGAAATGTTTCAAAAACTGAAAAAAAATATTCAATTTGAGAAACACAGCGGCGGGGGCGAGCTAGTACGCTATAAATGTTGAAGATTTGTTATACTCGTAGTCTCAATACGTCTTTGTTGAATGAATAGAAGTTACACGTGGAGTGTCGACTCCGTCAAACATCATAATTATGTTATATTGTTTGTGTGAAAATCGCATTGTTGTTACGCTAATTTCACTCACACAAAGATTTAACTTAAATGGAGATGTGGACAGATAATGGTGGTTTAAAGTAGGTGAAGCAAAACGGATTTGTATTAAAACTGGAACGGTTCCAAGTTATCGCGTTTAGAGAACCGCGGTCCAGCCTAGTTACTAGCGTTGTTGGGTATTGTACTTTGTTCTTCTGTTACTGTAGGCCTACTAAGATTTATATTTCGGAGATAATTGTAAATGAAATTTATTTATAATATTATAACTTGAAACATCTGATACATAGCCCCCTCGTCCTAAATTAGTCAGAGCTTGGTGATGACTGTTGAAACACATATTTATATATTTTTAAATAATATTATACACATTATACTCGGAGACAGAATAAATTATCGTGCCCTTTCGCAATATGTGCTCTGGGTTGCACATTATTTCTCACACAAAGTGTCGTCCCATGTGGGATTTGAACCCACAACACAACGCCATCCGTGGCGGCAGGGCGTGTGCACTGCGCCGTATGCGGACGCCTATACAAACGCTAGTCTATAAACAGCCTAACGACTGACACGTTTAGCTATTAATAACTAAGAAGTTAAAGTCTTATCATTATCTCGTAAGCTCACATGCCTATATTTATAGCGACCGGTTTTTTGTTGGTTTGTTTTTATTCAAGTAAAGACCTGTTTACACGAATTTTTTTAGCTACACACATTCTCACAACTAATGCGATCAAAAACAGAAAAAAACCCGAATCTCGCAAGTAGCAAACCAGTTCTTTAGCACGCCCTCGACACTGTAGAATTAAACACCTAAGTCTGCGTACTCTTTTTTTTCTGTGCGGAAATCCCCTCGAATACCGGTAGCAATGTCGGACTCAGGTACCAGTAGTCGGGGAAACAGATGTACCCTAGAAAAGAAATCCCTGGTGCCCCGACGTACCTCGGGCCATCTACGGCGGGTAGACGACCCCCCCTGTGTGGGAACCCCCATGTTCTCTCTGTGCTCGCGCTCCCCGCCACCCCGGCCTGCTAGGGTGACAGATGCCCTCACCTGTCCGCTCTTCGACCTCCTCCTGTGAAGTGAATGTGATCAAGTCATCTCCGAACAAAGCATAAAGTAACTGTCGATGCCGGCCATGATGCGTATGAGATATTGTCCAACGAATACGTAGAGATTATCGATGTTCGGTTAACGTGGATGTTTGGTGGGATCAGCAGTGCTATTCTCTAAGGAAACAGCCTTGGGTACAGCGCTGCCATAACGTCAAACTTGAAACTAAGTTCGTTTGAAATTCGACGCTATACCGCTGCCACAATGTCGAATTTCAAACTAAGTTTCCTTAGAGAATAGCACTGCTCAACTGTTGAGTCTTCTAAAATATCAATTTTATGTGAATAAGTTTATATTCCCATATTTATCTAGTCAATTCGTCTATTTTTTTTTGTTTATATCATAATAACAACAACATCGATGACGATAAAATAAACACTTAGTTCAGACCAGACATAACAGAAAAATTGTATGATTAATACAATTTACGTGTACGCAATGAGTAACTTCATTATGTATAATTCATATCAAATCACATCAACAGCCTTTAATAGTCCACTGCTGGACATAGGCCTCTCCTTAGAATGGAGGTGGCCTACTATACCACGCTAGCCAGACGGGTTGGTATAGGGTTTGTGTCAAGTTTTCCTTCTCTTTACAGTGATGTTGTCCTGCGTGGTTTTCTCCCTTAGGTGGCTCTTACGACATAATCGCATAATTAAAAGAACATAATGTATGTACAATTTATGCACCTATCTCATTTTTACGCTGGCCTTTCAGGAAGTGACAAAAAATTGTGCGCCTGAGTCGTTTTCCTTGACCACAATCTATTGACGC